CAAACTTTGCTCCAATCATTTTCAATGACAGAATGCAGGTCTATTTTTTCCTATCCGAGTCCGAGCTTCATTGGACTCATAAACATTCATTGGACTCGTAAACTTTCATTGGACTCATAAAATGTCATTGGACTCATAAACTAGACCAGAGCCAATTATTTCATATTGAATTATGTCTATTTGAATAATTTTTAATACCTACTATTGCTGCGCACTTTCACTAGAGAAATTTTATTTATTTCTTATTAATTAATTATTCATAGTTAATCAATTGTTTATCTTTTGGTGAAATAACACTATCTAATATTCATAAATACAATATGGCTCTCGTAAATTATATATAACTTTTCATTTTTATTCAATTCATTTATGCATACATAAACAGAACTTCGATTCATTGCTAAATCAAAAATATTTTAAAATATGTGAATAATAAAATACATTAGAAATTTTTTTGATTAAAAAACTATCGGATTATTCAAAAGTTTTCTATGTGATTTGTTTGATTCCCCGTTATTGGGCGTACAAAATTATATACTTCCCAGTCTTTTAAATTATAAGTTAATTTTTAAAAGTTATTTTAAAATTTAAATCTAAAAATTTATTATTATATGTTATTTTCTTAGGTCGTGGCATCAATTTTGTGTCGGAATTTTATTTAATAATTCAATTAAGTAATGTATTTAAATTATTTGAGTATTAATATATTATTAATCTAATTATTTAAAACATAGCTGCTTCATCTTTGGCTTAACTATGAAGCAATTGTCTTTTAAAAAAGTTTGATTCGACATGAGCTAATAAAATATTGGTACTACTTTTACATGATTTATTGAACTTACTTACAATTTAAATCAGTTTAATTTTAATAAAATTATGTGCTTTTAATTGTTAATTTCAATTAATAAATTTTAAATGAAATGAAAAATTTAATAATAGTTTTTAAAGAATAAAACTTTCTATTGTTTTCTAGTATTATATATTTAGTCACTATTAATTGTGGATCATCATAACTCAAGTGAAATTTTAATGTTTACAATTGTAAATACCGACTTTATATATTATAGGGTGTAACATAAATAATTAGCCCCCCTTAAACCATGTAAGTGTAAAAATTTATATCTCAATGTTTAGATTTCCAATCTATTTAATTTTTTTGTCATATATTTACAATAATGCCTTCTTCATTTTCTGAAAGATTTGAATTTTTTTCTTTACTTAAAAATTTTTTATGATTTTTTAAAATTTAAGGCAAAATTATGAAATTGGTGTCCAGTTCAAATATGAGATTGAACTTGGACATTCGGAAAAGGAATCATGGCGCAAAATATGCAAAGTGAAGTATGAGGATGTTATCTCGTATTCCACGGAAAAAATTTGGCTTTCCAAATAAAAGAAAGGTAGAGAGGAGCAGAAAGGCAAAGAACATCTTGGATGCCAACTAACGGTAGATAAGAATGCCGTTCTCCGTTGATTCAAAGCCAATCCAAAAAATAAAATGTGTAATTGGGGCAGGCACTCACCTGCTCAATTACAAAAATTTTCATAATTTTATTTGAAGCGGGTATCAAGTTATGAAGAGTCAATTGTTACCCCATGAATTGCCGCAAAATCAAAAAAATCACTAATCACTTTTGCAAAACAACCCCTTAAATGCCACAATGAAGCTCCTTATTTGAAACAAATTTTAACCTATAAGGAAGTGTGGGTTGCCTTCATGAATTCTGTAAACAAAAAGGAACGGCTCATCCCAGCTAACCATCAGTTTCGACCTCTAAACCAGACTAGTCCAACAGCGTGATCTGATATGTATTTGGTGGTGTCGCGGCGGGGTAATCATTGGAATTTAGTTTAAACTGGCTAAACTATTACCCCCAAATTGTATTATTCCCATATAGATCGAGTCCATCGAAAAATCTGGTCGCCTGGCCTCACTAGGCATTTTCGCGCGAGGGTTATCCTAAAACAGCATAATGCTAGCCCCTATTTCACAAATGCGACCCTCTAAAAAATCAGCCAGTTGTTTTCCAGGGGAATTTCTTATATCATCGTATTCAACAGATTCTGCTCTATCAGAATCTATTTAAATTTTCATTCTTAATCATTAATTTTGCAGAGAAAAATCAAAAAGAAATTGTCTTGTTTCAAAAATAAAAGTTTTTGTATTTTACCTTTAACTCCTGCCAACCTACTCCTAGGATTCTGATTTTTTGCCAGAAAATAGGCAACTCTCGTAGGATTATAAAAAAATATAATTCGAAGTCTGGAAACATTTAGTTGAATTTTAATAATTATTTAAACCACTTAACACATGGGGGGCTAATTATTTATGTTACACCCTTTATATATATCAGGATATCGAAGAAATCTAGTTTCAGAGTGAAATCTAGTTTTTGGAACCAGTTTCAAGCATTCAATAGTTAATGATCTCATTCTTTGTACCAGCTTCTTTAGAATGAGATCCCTTTTGATAATTAAACGGAACTTCGTTTTTACAAATCGTCATTAATTTTTCCTTCTTTATTTTCATTAAAACGAGAGCCTTTTCTTCTTTCTTTTCTGGAATTGTCATCTTTACGCGAGAATTATAAACAATTTCGTCGACACTATTCCTTTTCGTTTTTTTCGGTATTGTTGGAAGTTCCATTTCTTCTTTTTTATCTTCAATTTTCCTTTTTTCTAAGATCGAGTTCACAATTTTATCGCAATATTTTATTATGTTTCAAACATTTGATGAAGTTTTCAAACAAGCGCTGAAGTGAATTTTATTAAATTTCATTTTTAATAATTTTATATAAATATTTTTATATAATGAAAACTAACCCTTACTTAACAAGATTTTGCTTCTACATAAACATTATTGATCAAAAAAATTTTTGTTGGCTTATTTAAACATTTAATTTAATTTATTGCGTTTTGAATGTATTATATAAATTTAATTTTCTGAATTCTATTGATTTATTAGGCTCGTTTTCACTAGATTATTTTCATAAAAATTTTTATATTCGAAAATTCTACTTATTTAGATTATTGAAAAAGTACAAAAATAAAGATTTTTAACATTTTGTTTTGCAAAATTACTGTCTCTTAATAATTTATTTCAGAATAGTTTTATATAATTAAGAAATTTTTGCTGACACGAAATTTATAATTACTGTATAGTTTTGATTTCTTTAAAAATATTTTCATAAAATCAATAAGTTTATGAAATTTTATGGAATAGAAATAGTCAGTATTCTCAACAAATTAAAATAATATCTGAAACTTCTAGAATTTTAGTAAATTAATATTTATAAAAAAATCGTAATCGTGAAACATAAGTTTAAATAATTAAAAATAGTTAAAAATAAATGTTGAAAAAATATATTTAAAAGTAATAATTAAAATTCTTTCTCCATCAGATCATCTGTAAACTATTCCCATAGTTGAAAAATGTGAAAAAGGGGTGGGTTTACTAGTGATGCTCGTGAGAAGAAAAAACCCGGGAATCGGGAAACGGGAATCGGGTCGGGAAATGACCTCGGGAGTCGGGATCGGGAGTCGGGAATTAGCAATAAAAAAATTTTCCAAAAATTCCAAAAATTTTTGGCGTCTTTTAATTGTAATTTTAATCTTTTAATTTTATCTTTTAATTGTACTTTTAATCAAATCAAACTCATTTGAAAGGGATATCTAATGTTTAATTGAATTAATAGAATGATAACAACATGTATATAAATATATTTTTTCATATATTTTAAATTAGGTATATAGGTTATCTATAGTTATGTATAATATAAATATGTATTATGTAGTATACTTTAGAATAATCATTTCGTCATCAACTAAATTGCACAAATAATCTACCAATTTTTGGGCCTCTGCATATTAAGTAGCTTATTAAATATATTAATGTTTTTAAAATCAAAATTTTCATTTTAAAAACTGTTTATAGTTTAACTTGCTACAAAATAACTTTGACTTTTGTTAAAATTTTATAATCAGTTTTTTTATTCATTCTACTATTGTCCAATTTGCAACAAATTAACCAGTTTTAAGTTGAATGGTATATAAAACACGGATATCTATAAAGCATATATGCCAAAAATATTCTAAGCTGCCAAAATATTTCGCAATCTAATATAAAATTTTAAGCCTAAGGGTATCTATAAATGAGGCTTGGCTATTTGATTAATAAATTTAATTACCATTGTACATGTATGATCACATGTTAACTTGAAAAAAGTTGTTTCATCGGTTTTAGAACCTGTTTTACAAAAGGGATTTGAAAAAATTTTGATGAACGAGCATCACTAGTAAACCCACCCCTTTTTCACATTTTTCAACTATGGGAATAGTTTACAGATGATCTGATGGAGAAAGAATTTTAATTATTACTTTTAAATATATTTTTTCAACATTTATTTTTAACTATTTTTAATTATTTAAACTTATGTTTCACGATTACGATTTTTTTATAAATATTAATTTACTAAAATTCTAGAAGTTTCAGATATTATTTTAATTTGTTGAGAATACTGACTATTTCTATTCCATAAAATTTCATAAACTTATTGATTTTATGAAAATATTTTTAAAGAAATCAAAACTATACAGTAATTATAAATTTCGTGTCAGCAAAAATTTCTTAATTATATAAAACTATTCTGAAATAAATTATTAAGAGACAGTAATTTTGCAAAACAAAATGTTAAAAATCTTTATTTTTGTACTTTTTCAATAATCTAAATAAGTAGAATTTTCGAATATAAAAATTTTTATGAAAATAATCTAGTGAAAACGAGCCTAATAAATCAATAGAATTCAGAAAATTAAATTTATATAATACATTCAAAACGCAATAAATTAAATTAAATGTTTAAATAAGCCAACAAAAATTTTTTTGATCAATAATGTTTATGTAGAAGCAAAATCTTGTTAAGTAAGGGTTAGTTTTCATTATATAAAAATATTTATATAAAATTATTAAAAATGAAATTTAATAAAATTCACTTCAGCGCTTGTTTGAAAACTTCATCAAATGTTTGAAACATAATAAAATATTGCGATAAAATTGTGAACTCGATCTTAGAAAAAAGGAAAATTGAAGATAAAAAAGAAGAAATGGAACTTCCAACAATACCGAAAAAAACGAAAAGGAATAGTGTCGACGAAATTGTTTATAATTCTCGCGTAAAGATGACAATTCCAGAAAAGAAAGAAGAAAAGGCTCTCGTTTTAATGAAAATAAAGAAGGAAAAATTAATGACGATTTGTAAAAACGAAGTTCCGTTTAATTATCAAAAGGGATCTCATTCTAAAGAAGCTGGTACAAAGAATGAGATCATTAACTATTGAATGCTTGAAACTGGTTCCAAAAACTAGATTTCACTCTGAAACTAGATTTCTTCGATATCCTGATATATATAAAGGGTGTAACATAAATAATTAGCCCCCCATGTGTTAAGTGGTTTAAATAATTATTAAAATTCAACTAAATGTTTCCAGACTTCGAATTATATTTTTTTATAATCCTACGAGAGTTGCCTATTTTCTGGCAAAAAATCAGAATCCTAGGAGTAGGTTGGCAGGAGTTAAAGGTAAAATACAAAAACTTTTATTTTTGAAACAAGACAATTTCTTTTTGATTTTTCTCTGCAAAATTAATGATTAAGAATGAAAATTTAAATAGATTCTGATAGAGCAGAATCTGTTGAATACGATGATATAAGAAATTCCCCTGGAAAACAACTGGCTGATTTTTTAGAGGGTCGCATTTGTGAAATAGGGGCTAGCATTATGCTGTTTTAGGATAACCCTCGCGCGAAAATGCCTAGTGAGGCCAGGCGACCAGATTTTTCGATGGACTCGATCTATATGGGAATAATACAATTTGGGGGTAATAGTTTAGCCAGTTTAAACTAAATTCCAATGATTACCCCGCCGCGACACCACCAAATACATATCAGATCACGCTGTTGGACTAGTCTGGTTTAGAGGTCGAAACTGATGGTTAGCTGGGATGAGCCGTTCCTTTTTGTTTACAGAATTCATGAAGGCAACCCACACTTCCTTATAGGTTAAAATTTGTTTCAAATAAGGAGCTTCATTGTGGCATTTAAGGGGTTGTTTTGCAAAAGTGATTAGTGATTTTTTTGATTTTGCGGCAATTCATGGGGTAACAATTGACTCTTCATAACTTGATACCCGCTTCAAATAAAATTATGAAAATTTTTGTAATTGAGCAGGTGAGTGCCTGCCCCAATTACACATTTTATTTTTTGGATTGGCTTTGAATCAACGGAGAACGGCATTCTTATCTACCGTTAGTTGGCATCCAAGATGTTCTTTGCCTTTCTGCTCCTCTCTACCTTTCTTTTATTTGGAAAGCCAAATTTTTTCCGTGGAATACGAGATAACATCCTCATACTTCACTTTGCATATTTTGCGCCATGATTCCTTTTCCGAATGTCCAAGTTCAATCTCATATTTGAACTGGACACCAATTTCATAATTTTGCCTTAAATTTTAAAAAATCATAAAAAATTTTTAAGTAAAGAAAAAAATTCAAATCTTTCAGAAAATGAAGAAGGCATTATTGTAAATATATGACAAAAAAATTAAATAGATTGGAAATCTAAACATTGAGATATAAATTTTTACACTTACATGGTTTAAGGGGGGCTAATTATTTATGTTACACCCTATAATATATAAAGTCGGTATTTACAATTGTAAACATTAAAATTTCACTTGAGTTATGATGATCCACAATTAATAGTGACTAAATATATAATACTAGAAAACAATAGAAAGTTTTATTCTTTAAAAACTATTATTAAATTTTTCATTTCATTTAAAATTTATTAATTGAAATTAACAATTAAAAGCACATAATTTTATTAAAATTAAACTGATTTAAATTGTAAGTAAGTTCAATAAATCATGTAAAAGTAGTACCAATATTTTATTAGCTCATGTCGAATCAAACTTTTTTAAAAGACAATTGCTTCATAGTTAAGCCAAAGATGAAGCAGCTATGTTTTAAATAATTAGATTAATAATATATTAATACTCAAATAATTTAAATACATTACTTAATTGAATTATTAAATAAAATTCCGACACAAAATTGATGCCACGACCTAAGAAAATAACATATAATAATAAATTTTTAGATTTAAATTTTAAAATAACTTTTAAAAATTAACTTATAATTTAAAAGACTGGGAAGTATATAATTTTGTACGCCCAATAACGGGGAATCAAACAAATCACATAGAAAACTTTTGAATAATCCGATAGTTTTTTAATCAAAAAAATTTCTAATGTATTTTATTATTCACATATTTTAAAATATTTTTGATTTAGCAATGAATCGAAGTTCTGTTTATGTATGCATAAATGAATTGAATAAAAATGAAAAGTTATATATAATTTACGAGAGCCATATTGTATTTATGAATATTAGATAGTGTTATTTCACCAAAAGATAAACAATTGATTAACTATGAATAATTAATTAATAAGAAATAAATAAAATTTCTCTAGTGAAAGTGCGCAGCAATAGTAGGTATTAAAAATTATTCAAATAGACATAATTCAATATGAAATAATTGGCTCTGGTCTAGTTTATGAGTCCAATGACATTTTATGAGTCCAATGAAAGTTTACGAGTCCAATGAATGTTTATGAGTCCAATGAAGCTCGGACTCGGATAGGAAAAAATAGACCTGCATTCTGTCATTGAAAATGATTGGAGCAAAGTTTGTTAAATCAGTTTTATTTTTTTTGATTAGTCTAGAAAAACTTTTCAACTAGGGTTGTTCCTCTGCGTGGGCCCCGCGGTAAATTTCGCTGAGGCAAATGGCGGAAAAAAGGCAAAGGGCGGAAAAAATTTTTGTGGTGAAATTTTGGCGTTGGCGTTTCCAATTCCAACGCGCTACGATTTTTAGCGCCGCAAGCGTGAATTTTGTAATTTTAGAGATCAAGAAGCCAGATTTATTCTAATTGTTCTGCTGTAGGAAAATAAATTAGCATATTGATCTGACCACAAAATATTTTAGGCTGATAAGATCTCGATCATTATCAAGATCCATCATTATCAAATAGCCTTAGTTATTCTTATGTATAGTGTTGTATGTTGTCTGTTTTCATATTTTTAAACTCTTGGATTTTTCTTGTTTTTATAAAAAATCCTTACTATTTATTTTTATTACTATTTTATTTTGCATTTTATGTCATTATCATCAAAATTTAGTAAAAAATGTGGGAAAGTAAAAAATAAATTTTTAGTTTTAAAAATGATTATTCATTTTAATAATCGTAAAAACTGCTAATAAAAATAAAATTTATTTTTCCATATTTCCTCAGAATTTTACTAAAATTTATTTTAATTAATTTTTTTATATTTTAATTAATACGAGTTCAAATCAAATTTTTAAATTTTTCGCTTAGACTATATTTAGTTACTTTCATTTTTTGTTTATTTTTTTAAATAAATTCCATTTTAATAATTTTACATGTTATATGTATATAATTTTTCGTATTTTTTATACATTTCGTGTTAGTTTATCTTATTACTTGCATTTTACGTAACTTTCCAAATCCCCCCCCCCCCCCCCCATATCACTATATTTCTACTCATATGAAATTTTTTAACTATTTTTTAGATAAAGTTAAATTATTATATTAATCAAATTAAATTTAATTTATTCTATCATGGAGGAAAAAAACATTATATCAACTAGAACAACTAAGAAATCTAAGAAAACACTACCTGAGAATTGCACTCTGGATCATAGATTTTATTGTCAGATTTTTAGCTTCTTGTATGTTTTAGCTTCTTGTATGTTTTTGGAAATAAACACTTTAGCTTCTTGTATGTTAATATTTTATTTGTGTTGCCTTTATTTAATTCATACGTAAAAGATTATGTTTCTCAATTTTATTATTTTTTTATTTGCTGGCATAAATAATTATCATTACTACTCGTATTCTCTACTCCAAAAATCATAATTATTATACTTTCTCAGTACGATAATTAATCTATCGTAATAATAATGAAGTATGCTGCTGATGCTATATTCAAATTTGTAAGATAAACAATCATTGTTTACATAAATTTCGTAATTCTCTAAATATTCTCATTTTTTGTAACTTTTATCGCATAAAATTAAATAAATATTAAATGAAGAAAAGGAGCGTAACGATATTAGTCAAGATAATCACAATTCTAATAATAAGAAAATAACAAAAACAAACTAACAATTTATATCCTGTTCACGTAGCCATAAATGTATATGATAAAAGGCATTAGATAAGAAGAAATTGACTAGTGAAGCAAAGTTAACTGACTTTCATAAAATTCGTTAATATATAATTTTATCGGAAGAAGGAGTAAACCGAAATCTTAGTATACTTAATAGAGACTTAGTATTTAACATAGACTAAATTTCCGTGTATATACATAGTAATGCTTAAAATATATGAGAAAAAATTTTTTAATTCTTACAATTTTTAATATGTTAAAAATTTTTAAAACTAAGCACTTTATTAGAAAAAATAACAAACGCAAATAAAATAGTTAGTTAATAAATCTGAATTTTATGATCTAAAAACTATGTATTAATTTAAAATTAATTAATATATGAAATAAGATTTAAATAAAAAAATTATTAAATAGTTAGCACAACACTGGGACCGTAAAAGTTCATGCGTAAAAGTTCAAAAGTTCAAAAATTGCTGTGGAAAAATGAGCAAGAACATAATGTAAAAGTTTCCACTTCAATGTATGCGTTCATAAATGGCTCGGAAAAGCAAAAATTTCATCAATGTCAATTTTGTCAAAATAAACATTTGGAAAATAAGTGTCAAAATATTGATCAAAGGACCAGCGAAAAATTAAGGAATAAAAATTGTATTTCAAATGTTTTGCTCGTCCCATTTAGCCAAGAATTGTGAAAATATAGCTACATGTTTTTTATTTCTAAAAAGGGGCACAATACCGCTTTTTGCAATAAAAGTTTCCCACAAATAAAGCCATTAATGTAACAAAATGTAAAAAGAAATTTTTAATGAAATCATAATAGAAAAAACTTGTTTATGGCCACTGAACAGAAATCGATTGAAGAAAATGAAGAGAACAATGAAGTTCTCATTCAAAATTTCACTAAGAAAACAAGAAAACAGAAAACAAATTCTGAGTTTTACACGTCCGAAGCGGGGGATTTTGCACGTGCCGCAAAACCCTCCGCTTCGCGGGGGGCCGAACGCGCTTAAAGTATTCAGCAAATTTTTTAATTAAGATATATTTAAAGAATTTTACGAAAATTTCTTTAAATATTCCTATCAAAAAT